AGTATTATAGGGGTTCTTTATTGCTTTAGTTAATTAATTATACAACTTATGTATAGTCATTATAATTTTGAAGAGGTCTTGATATATAGTTAAACTGTAAAGCCCATAACTGGCAGCAAGAAGATTATTGAATTTCTCGCAAAATTTAATGAATCAATATTGCATAATGCTTGAGGAGAATCCTCATTTGTGAAAAATTTAAATGGTTTTCTTTTTAGCTCTGCCCACGAAATTTTGTAATGTCTAAGAAATCCTACAAATAGTAAACATTATAGCCTAGTTGTCTTGAAGTTTTACACTGGTGGAAAAAATGTATCGTATCACCAAATGTTTTCACATTTTTCTTCGAAATCATTGTCTGTTTTGCGGCCCTAATGCATGTAGATGCATATGTATTTCATGGATGGTGCAATACTACCTGATTAGTACATCAGCAACTTTATAAGCTGTCTGGGTATTGCATCAGGCGTTTTTTGGCTATAAATAAAGGTTCTTACTGAGAGTCAGTTTAGAAGCCTATCTGCTACAACGTGCATGTAATTCTCTCATGGCCAAAGGTTGCGAGTTAACTCCACGGAACAAAGTAGTAATCGTTTTTTGTTTGTTTTTTATCAAAGAGGGACTTTTGACAAGGCAGATTGCTAGAATAATCCAATTTAAACAACTTTCTGTGAGCTGTTGGGTGCAGTAATATAGAGACTGACTGTGTGGAGTGGCTGAACGGAAGGAATAAGAAGAAAGCTTCCACAGCAGCTGACGATCGTGTTCAGAAATGCATGAGCCTGCAAAATCGTTCAGGGTCACTGTCACCCCACGCATCATCTGGTCTCGCCTGTGTTATCCAGCAAGAAGGCCAAGAAACAAACTCTTCCTCACCAACAAGATAATGAATATGAGACTTAACTGGTTCAAAGAGCATGATGACTTGACTGAAGCAATGTAAAGAAAATTGATCTTCTCATACGAATCAAAGTTCAACGTGTACTGGTCTGATGGAAAGCATTTTGTACAATGGTGATATGGAGAAGAATTTCATCCATCGTGTTTCAGTTCAACTGTGAATCATTCACAGGGTCAGGTGATATGGGGATGCATCTTTAACCAGGGTGTGGAAACGCCTGCATTTTGTGAAAAGCGCTGTCAATGCTGACAAGTACATCGAGATCCACGAGTTCCAGTTAAAGCTAACAAATCGGGATCACTTCGTTGAAGATGACCATTGTACATCTTTGATAGGTTGTTTAGGCAGAGTATTCGTAATGAATCTAAGTTTCAAATGGACATCTACTGCCTGTTATAGAAAACTACAAATGTAGAGGACGACATTTCGAAAGTCTTCCGCCTTTCGTCTTCAGGTCCATTGTACATTTTGGGATGACTCTGCTTCATGCCACTGGTCTAAAAAGTTGATAATATTCAAACACTTTCTGCAGTAGATGTAAAATAAATAGGAATGTGAAAAAGACATCTTCAGTTTTATTTCACTGCTTCAAGTGAATGAGTATCTTTGAAGGAAGAGGATCAAAGCACTGCGTTGGATAGGCAATTACTCAGATCTCAACCGTATCGAAAACTGTTGGAAGGTAATGAGTAACAAAGTGCAAGGGAAGAAACTTAGGAGTACCTTAGAACTATAAGAAGCCTTAATCCGCATGTAGCATCATGAACCATATTCAGTCCCTAATGCAATCTATGATATGACGATGACAAATAGTTTTCATAGCCAGAGGGGCCACAACCAAATATCAAATCAAGAAACATACTTTGTGACAACTTTTGTCAATTAGAATAATGGTGTTAACTTTGAATCTAGATTTTCTTACTCGGAGAACGTTTTCGTATTTGCCAGGTATTGGTTGATTACCTGCTTTAATACGTTTGTCACGATTGGTTTGTGTTTAAAGATACATATATGTGTTTGGATAACTGAAATGTGAGTCAGCTGACACCATACAATATCCATAACCGTTTTACACTAATTCTAGCATTTTCACGGGGTACAATCCCATAAGAAAATACAGGGAACAAGAAAAATGTTAATAGAATTGGATGATAATAGATCTTGCTACTGCCTTGTTATTAGTGAAAAAGCTTTACAAGTGTAACTTGTGGTGGGTACGTTTGTTTCGCAATGTCAAGAAAATATTAACAGTTGGGTAAAAGGGTGTCATCAGTAAATCTACAAGCACGACTAATGTGTAAAACTTTACTATAGTTTTTTGTCTTTATTAGGGTTTGTAATGTGAGAAAATCCAAATTTGACAAATGAAACTTATGTATTTCGTTTTATTTAGGACATGTGACCATTCATTTTGCCACCACAAATTATGAACTTTGAAGTGCGAAGAATGATGAAGCTCACAATATAATATAATTTAGTAATATTTACTGCTTTATTTCCTAAAAAGGCATACCGAGTAGGCGTTGGATGAATGCTGCTGACTAGTTGTCCTCCTATTGGTCAGCAGATCTAAATCAGGAATGAGTATGTCTGAAGCTATTTTGAAATGTATACGATAGTACATTGCAAAACAAAGATTCAAAATATAATAAGGTGGTATTTTATTGTGTGTGTATATGTGAATTGATATTTTCCTCAGCTCTTAATCAAACTTTTTTCACAGCGGGCCAGATAACTGAGAGAATGACGAGCGCGGGCCGCGTAACCATTTTGTTTAATACAATACAGTGAATACACAAAAAATAAAAACAACAAACATGTTTATTTTCCAAAAGGTTATCAAAGAAGGCGACGTTAGCAATAGAATAATTATATCACACCCAGTGCGCACATATCCGAATCTCAGAAACTAAGCAGCAAAAAAAAAAGGTTTGTGAGGTTTGTGAAACTGGCGTTCAGCTTTTGAG